CAAGAAAATTATCACCCAGGAGAAGTTTCTTAATTTGTCGCATCGTTCACTAGTCAGATATTTACCAGCCGCACACTTAAATGGTGTCCTGAATTACATTGAGTCATAACAGATCTCGCATTCCAAAGTGGCAGAATTTTTTCGCTTGATATAAACGTTTTGAAGGCACGTTGTACTCCTAGTACCCTATTCCATAAGCAATAACTTAAGCGCCTTTTCTTCAGCATTGTTAGCAAATTTACTTCAGTGGGCTGAGTGTATATACGAGCATACTTGCTTGGGAGCGAATGACGGTGGCAGATGGGCGCACGCGATGCTGAGACTTCACTTGGCTGAAGCATGTGACAGGGGAAGGGAAAGAAGGAAAGGTGCCCGTGTAGACCATTAGAGAGAAAGTGAGAACGAGGGCGAGAGAAGTATCCTTCCATATTGCCCCCACCTGCCCCCCTCCCCCCTCCTCGCCTTTACTGCCTTCCGATCCCCTTGACTGGACCGGAATGGCTAGTGCCAAGCCTGGCGCCTTGACCGAGCATGCATTTGCGGTGAGTTTAGCGCTCGCCTAGCAGCCGCCTCGCGTGACCATTTTGGTCAGCAGAAGGGCGGGCAGGTGGGTGACAAAGGACTGGAGGGAGGGAGAAGTGGCCATAAGTTTATATAATATACATAAATATATCCACATATTTATTTATACTTCCATTTAATTTTATTGCCTTCAGCCATGGAAGCGATTGAATTCACAGGGCGTGCACGTTAAGTTCATTTACAATCCAAAAGTACCTCACTTTGCCAGGATGTATGCAAACATAAAACGCCAAAAATTTTTACATTTAGTCCTCAAACAAATTTTCCCGAGCAGAACTTGTGAGAAAATAATTTACCTATTAACCCCCATGTCTGTGAGGAACTTAACTTGAGGGATGCTCAAAATTCCAACAGATCTAACTCCTTCTATTTGTGAAGACATGACCAGGCGGAAGTATGCCTGTCACCCAAATATATCCATTCGACCCGGATAGAGTTTGACAAAGCGTCTGAAATCTGAAAAACTGCAAAACAACAGAAGAATGCAGATTCCTGCTGAAATAACTTTCCTTCCTGATCCGTCAGGCACTCCTCTTTTTCAAAAGCATCGACCTTTTAAATAATGAAGAATCTCATCACTTAGGAATCGTACCATAGCTTAAAACCTTGGTTTAAAAGAAAAGCACAGGGTCTACCGTTGAAGCTCACATAAATGGTGAAATTAGCAGTAGACGACCCCACAGCTTCCTCCTGAGCAGGAGTACGAACAGCCTCAGTATTTCCTTTTAACTTCATTAGTGGTAGTTGTAGGACAAGAGGGCTCTGCATTTACTTACTTTTGAATGTTGTGACACAAGAAATTGATAAATGCTGCCGTGGTGGCGGTTTTTTAATAGTAAATACGGCATCACTGAAGCTCTTTGTGCAAAACGACCGTTAAAAGGCAGTTATAACTCTCAATTCCCACTGGACTTGTTTAAAAGACACACATCTGCTAAATGTAGCAGTATTGTTACCTTTAGAAAGCAAATGTCCATCTTTGCAGAAGTGACCACGATACAATGCCAGTTTTTTTTTACCAAAGAACAAAATAATACAACGGAGATTACTGGTGGATAGGTTGTAAAAAGGCGTCAGGCCTGCATCCCGGAGCTCTGATGCAAGTGGGCAGGAGAGGCAAAATCAAGGGAAGCGCCATGTATCATCAGTGTCACCTCAAGCTCACCCACTGGCAAAAATAGTTGGGAAAGGATGACTAGGCGTGACTGGACTGCACATCTCCATGGCGTAGGTGAATGGCCTTTCGCCTTAAAACGAGGGGGCCCCTCCTCCCTTGCGGGAAGGAGGGACTCCATAAAATGAAAAATGGGGAAGGAGGAATAAAACCGGGAGTGGAGTGTTTGTTCTTTGTTAAAATGGATAGCAGCAAGCAGTAACAAGATGACTCTCCACGGAGGTGACGAATCTAGCTCAAACATAACCATTTTTTCCAATTCTGTTTTGCATAAACTTGGGCCCACAAAAGGTTCAAAAACTGCTTTCCAGTAAAAAGCTCTGCGTAAAGTTAAGTGCATGTATTTTCAGAAAATGCTTTCTTAGAACGCACCGATTAGAGCGTAATTAAAAAGCTGAGGGTCATGAAATTCTCCCCTCTAATGAGGCTTGAAATAATTCTAGAGGAGGCTTTCGAGAACTTAGCAGTTACAATTAGCTTTCAAACCGGTAATTTGATAATTTCGGCATGGTTTATGCTACTATCAGCATAAATTAAAGTGTAAAGTGTTTAGTTATAGCAAAACCATTTAATCGGGACCCTATTTGTGCCTTTTTGAGATTGGAAAACGTCAATGTGCTATTCGTGCTGATGCTGCGTCGTCTCCACAACGGAACTTAGTTCCATGAGTGACGCCCGAGCACTCTTATCTGGGCTCTCACGTCACAATGCACGACATGTGACCTCGCTCGATTTATGAAGACTGGTTAGACGCAGTCGTGTCGCAAACGGATAAGTTTTCCCTAAAAACGCTCAAACGAGCGTCAGATGTGATTAGCCTGAGGATAACTACGTTGTTCAGTTTTAGAGCAGTAGTTGAAATGACAGTTGGTCTCGTATCAAAACAATGAAAATCTGGTTGACTTGACCCAGCAATGGTTAAAATGCGTTGATAATTTGTCTAAACGTTCCATTGTTAATCGGAGAATGCACCAATTCATAATTAGAAGCACGGTTTTGGAGCGCTTACTCTTTTCAACCGTAGATATCAAAGCCAATTTTTGTAACTAGAAAGTCGGAATCGGTAAATTTACTCCCACAGCATGGATATTGAGGGCCATTTTAAAGGCGCACCAATCTGAGAAGCACCGTTTAAAGCGTTGCCAACAGGCGCGGGATAAAGGAAACGACCCAGGCACAACCATGGATGTGTTAGGATTATCAGTGGCCTCCCCTACACACGCTTTCCCCTTCACTTCCCTTAGTCATCGCAGCCCATCCAAATCCCGACTGGATGACGCAAATCGGGGTCATATTGTGATTGAATGTGAATGTCTGTGCGTGTTTGTACAGGCGAAATGTGGAATCACAAAAGGACAAAATAAATATGCCTAAGTTAGCCAGACCACGGGAATCCGCATTGGCAGTGACCCTGATTTTGAACCAATTCAATGGCACTACATTGCAGTACTGTGCGTCGCCCGTACATACCAAAGTCTATAATGGAACTACTGGATGATTCCAGAAACAGGCGCGTGGAACGCAAAGAAGTATCAAGTCCAGAAAAAGGAATAATATCTACTTCACGGTCTAAGCATGTCTATAACGATGGAATACTTACTGATCGACCTCTAATCAGAATTATTTTCCCCAATGTCGTGGCAGAGAGGTAACTTATAAAATCCCGCCTGGTCCCCACCATATGATCAGACAATGTGTCAAGGCTGGCCCGGCTGATAAGCTGAACACAAGCATTTCAATGCAGGACTCCAATTAATACAAGCCTTAATCAGACGTCTGCTCAACCTGTCAAAGCTCAGTACACAACAAGGTGGATAATTTGCTATTTGCTCTTTTTTCGTGCACCAGATGCCAATAGAAAGGCACAGCTGTTGCTAACTGTCACCTCGAATAACTGGGGTTTTGGCATCGTGCATATATCCTAAAATATGTGGCTGTTAAACGCTCTATTTTAAGAAAAAACGAGACTTGAATAAAGCCTCGAAAGTCGGCGTTTTGTGGGAAACCGTGGAGCTGGAGGTCTATTTAAACTCCCTATTCAAAGACATGCCACCTGAAGCTAACTCCTACGATGTTGAAGGCTTCTAAATGTTTAGGTCGCCCATTGGTCTGATCTAATTTGAACAATTTCATGCATCATTATAGCCTTATTTTGTATGCTAATCTCAGAAATGAAGGGACAGGCAGGATGTTTGCTACTGTTAAGCACAAATTATTTCCGATTTGGGGATTCGAGTGGAGAAATTTCATATTACAGAAATAGTTCCACGACTCATAAATAGAGAAGTGGGAATGGTGATGGAGGCCTAAAAAAGACCGGTCGAATTGACTCAATGTCAGCTAAGGGAACAAAAGCTTAGATGCACTTTTAAGCTTTAGTGTTTCGGACTGTGGGAGAAGGGAAGGAAGAGGGAGATGCATCGTAATTAAATGTCACTTCTGATATTGTCACAGCACTTGGGAAAAAAAGAGAACCTCGATATTCTGCCAAGTGATATTTAAAAGTGCGGTTTTTTAGAGACAGATGTAAAGGTCCCTTCAGAAGGGTTTATCAATATGGGCATTTAAGTCAAACGACGACACCTACGTATCCTAACACTTGCCTTACCTCCTCCATACATCAGCACAGAACGCCCTATCGTTGAAATTGACTAGCTGAATGCGTTTTATGAGGATAAGTTTTACGTATTCTTTTTCCCATGTCCAAAGAAAAACAAATGTGGAAAAATTCCTAGCATAGTTGAGAGAAAAAAAACAAGCAGCAGTGCTCCATCTGTTTAGCTACATTTATTGACATGGGAAATCGGGAACAAGTGTAAGGGCTTAGAGTTGTGGACTGTGTTGCGTGTTTACCACTTTAAGCAGACAAAAAAAGCAAGCTGGAAAGTAGGCAGGTGTAAGGTTTTTAAATCATCACAGTAGGCACGACAGGAGGCACTTGAAGCCCATAATGTGCTATACGTCAACATCTTCCAGGTGTGTATAAAAAGAAACGAGAAGAAATAAGGCCCTCAATGCTTCCTACTAAAAGCCCCTCTTTATAAGAGAGCATAAAAGCATTTAGATTAAGAGACGCATTAGTAAAAAAGGACCTGATTAGAACACAGATGCGTTAATTCACCCACTCATACCAGATCAGAGTATCGAAAGTAGAATAATTTTATTTTTCTATCCTTAGGGGTACGAAAAATATTGCGTGACACCGGAGGAAGTAGATTAATCTTTAATACGAATTCCTAACTTATTAGCTTGTAACAGGACTTACTTCAGCTATTCGCTGTCCAACGGAAGCATCCAAGGAGATATTGATGACACGCTCATTGGGCTTCGGAAAATGCCAGACGGGTGAATTGTCATTTACATCCTGAAGTCGGATGATGACTTGCGCTGATCCCGTCAACGATGGCTGACCATGATCCCTTGCAAGCACCTCAAGGACAATAAGTTCCTCCCTTTCCCGGTCCAAAGGCCTCCAGTCGTGTACCTTTCCATCGTTTGTAACCTTAGAACCTAAGTACAGTTCACCCGTACGTGAAACAGTGAACCAACGACCAGCGGAAGTGGAATTTGAAGGTTGTTGTTGAAGCCAGTAGTAGAGATGCCGGTTTGTTTCATCAGCATCGCAGTCGTTTGCATGCACCTCTCCCACCAACAGAGGTGGTGTTGCGCTTTCGCTAATATTTAGCTGGTAGACAAGTGTGTCAAATACAGGCTGACAGTCGTTGACATCTGAGACGGTGATTTGAACTGTTGTAAAGGCGCTGTTGCGTTTGAGGCTGGAATTAGTCTCCTCCCCACCATCAGTAACACTTATGGTTAGATTGAAGAAGGATACGACCTCACGGTCAAAGATGACTGCTGATCGAAGCTCACCCGTTCTTGGATCCAGTGTGAGCCACGTGGACACGCCTTGCGTGTTTACGGGGAAAGTGAGGTTTGAGGGATTTGATTGAGCAACATAAGTGACATCAGGTTCACCAACGATCGAATAACGTAGTCCAGCTTGTCCATTCAATGTGTACGGGTCGTCTGCATCGTTTGCTGTAATCTGGGAGATTAAAGTTCCAACCGGCTGACCTTCGGCAATGCTTCCAACCAGAGGTCCCACAAACTGAGGTACAGAGTCATTTTCGTCCAAAACAACAACGGTGAAAACCACGCTTTTTGAACGCGAGAAAGAGTTTCTATAACCCACCAAATTACTCTGCACAAGGATGTGATTACCAAATCGGTCAGCCTGATCCCAGCACTCGATTCGGACCAAATATTTGGCGGAAACCTCTCTATCCAACGGCTTCTTAGCAAGACGCACCTGAAATCTAGCTTTGTGTGACTGGCTGTCAAGATTAAGGAGTTCAATCTCCATCATCTCGTTATTGAGTTTGCATCGCGGAGGTTGTTTTAGCCGTTCTGTGGCCTCTTGAAGACTGAGTCCATTAGCCTGTAGAAAGGCGTCCCGGATAGGATTGTTAGACCGAAGGAACCTCGCCTCTGCTGCATCATCGCCGTCCGTTACAGTAAAGGTTGCTATCAACTGATCCGGTGGACCATTTTCTTTAACTTCTATGGTTAACTGTGAGCCGGAAACACGGTGATGAGGATCAAAGAGATGAAATCGCGATGTTGCAGTGAGGTGTGAATGAAGGTTAATAGCAGGTGGATGATCATTAATGTTAAGAATACCGACAACTATGACCGCCTCATCAAACCATAATCCATCCGTAACCGTCACAGAGAGTTTATAGGAGGTTATTTTCTCGTAGTCCAGTTCACCCTGCACCCTAATTTCACCTGTACGCTTATCCACCACGAAGAGACTAGCAACCTGCGAGGTCACTGAGGCAGCAAGTCCAAACTCCAGTTTACCCAGATCCGATTCGTCCTTATCACTTGCTCGTAGTCTATAAATAACACTCCCGATAGGACTGTGTTCCAGCACCCAAACCAGATCCTTGTTTTTCTCAAAATTCGGTGGGTGGTCATTCACATCCTCCACAGTTATATTAAGCATGAGGTATCCAGTTTGCGGCTTCACAGCTCCTCCATCCACTGCGAATATTTTTACCTGATGCGATTTCTGCTTGTCACGATCCAGCTCCTTATTCAATACCAACCACAGTTTGTAAGGTGGTGGATTTGAGTCGATAAAATTTGAGATGCTTCTAGATTTTCCTGTCCATTCGAGTGAAAATAGACCATCCACATCTGATTCTATGCCATAATTCACTGTTGTATTTTCTGGATAGGCATCAGGATCCATAGCTTCTGGAAGCTCAATCTTTGTCCCCACTTTTGTGTGCTCCCTAATCGGCAAATTAAGTACAGGGATGCCTGCATTTAAGTGACTGTGGTCGCTAGACGATCGGACGAGTGGATGCGAGGTTCTTTGGAGCTGCCACGTGGGGGCGTGGTCATTTATATCCAACACACGGATGGAGAGGGATAGGAGCCGCTGTTGCATGACGTTATCAAAGATACTAACCAAATCCACCATCAGAATGAGGGACATCGAGCAATCATCTTGTCGCATTTCACCCGTAGGAGATGCAAGAGCATCGAAGGGCTTTTGATGCTGTTGAAAACGTGAGCAACAAACGCCCTCAGTGGGACACAACTGCTCTCGGTCAATGCGTTTCTTGAGGCAAAGGAAAGAGGTGTTCAATGCCTCGTTAAGGCAGATGCGAAAGTAGGGATTTGGTTCGAGTAAGGTTATTTGACGGGGACGCAAGTCTGCCCATTGTATTCTTGCTCTTTCTAGAGTCTGCCGGGTGATGAAATCCAAATTCTCTGCGAAGGTATCCACATCTTGTTCCTCAACTACAGAGAGTTCAGCATATAGCGTATCAAGTGTCGATCTCTTTTTAACACGGCTACTGACCGCAGTCGGGGCGAGTAATAAGGCAGCGAAGAGGTATCGGTAAAGATGGTAACGACCCATGGTTTTGTTGTATCGTTCAAGTGTTTGTTGATGAGGTTAGGCCATCCCGCGACAAGGGCGAACAGGTGAGGCTTCGTTTAAAACATGAATTACCACCTCCGCAAGATAAACCAGTAAACAGACACCGAACAGTGATTGGCTGACATGGTTGACCAATGGCTCTCATGCTCCAATGGTTCGGACGCAATCTGATCACATACACGTGACGTGCCGGCGGCCTGACACAAGTTTTGGCACTCCTGCTTACACTTGTGTCAAAGCCAGGTGTCAGCATCATTTGAACTAGGACCTCTGTCTCATCTGGCGCTGAACTTAACCAGTTCATAAAAAATGATGGACAGGTGGAAGGCAAACAAGATAACACTTACTAACAATGTCATGGTTTATAATCAAGTATTCATAAAGTTTACTCAGTAAATAGTCTCAGCCACGATTTTCCTTAACACTTTAGCTGACGGAATGATGAAGGGATTTTGACCACCACAGTGCGGCATTTTATTGTTCAAAAATAATACCAACATCTGCTGAAAAAGCAAAAAAGTGACCATCCTCCCAACATTGTGTTTTGGCCAAAGTCACACGGTTTGAAACATGACTGGTTTCAACCAGTTATCACTACCTAGTAAGAACACCAAATTTAGTCAAGAAAATGGGGGGTCACATATATGTGACAGTGTGTAAAGAGAATCCAGAAGTTAGTCCCAATTGACGGACATGAACTCACCGCTTGCATAGTTTTTAAATTAGTTGAGTTAGTTGGTTACTGCGCATATCTAATGCCTACGAGCGACGATTAGGCGGATAAAGTTGGGTGTTTGGATATGCAAATTTAGGGCCAAAAGTGAGGCGATTCAGGTCATGCCTTAGCAGTGGGCACATATCTTTTGTATCGGAAATGAAGTAGAGGTCTCTTCTAAGTTGATTGTAACGAAAAAGGTTGGAAGTTTTTTAATCCAAAGATAATTTTAGTCAGGAGGCGTGTTCGCATTATGTGCTGTCAGCAGGCCTATCTGCTGACATGTTTAATGATGATCCCATTTTCATAGGCAGTAATCACAATAAATTCCACAGATTAACTTTTTAAAGGGAGTTACAGTAGCGGCTCCAAATAATGCATGGCTAGTAGACGCCAACACGATGAGGGTAATTGCTGTTTATTAACTCTGCTGTGGGACAAATAACTATTTGTCATGTTCCGGAAATGTGGAAAGAGGATTTAGATAACTCAGCCGCTGGACTCTTTGAACTCCTTGTCTGCCTTGTGCACAAGATTATTAATAACTCTTGGTAACAATTCTAAAATTTTTCCCGGAAAAAACACATCACTTTGCCTTAAATGTGACAGATTTGTAAATTTTTCGAAGGCAGAATTCATCTTTTAATTGCATTTCGCTTTTTGCTTTAGATAAAGTGGATAAGCAAATACCGGGGATTTGATAATTACAAGGTCTGTAGCTGACAAATACTGCAGATCTTTTAACTGGTAGGTTTAATCTATCGAAGAAGCAGCGAGTAACGCGCCCTCAAAAATGCTCCCGCCTACACCTTAAAATAAGTTTATTGTTTAGTTGCTAAGATAAATTGAAGATTGAAGTGGTGAAAAGGAAAACGCCAAAGTGACAGCTGGTACTAAACCTCGAAAGAAATAGGGAGCTTAAGGTAATCTCCTATAGGCTCGAAACCTAACATTCATTTACAACTAAATTTGCATTGTTCCAGCTCTGGGGGAAATCATGAAAGTCAAAAGCTTGCATGCTCTCTGAATGCAACAGAGTTCTTGGACCTTTTTTACACTGCGGTAAGCATTCAGTGATGTCGCAGCTAGCAACAACACCTCCAGCTCTTTTTATCACTCCCATCGCAAGGCCCATTTTAAAGGGTCTAAGCAAACAGACGACATCTAACACTCCAATACGAGTTGCATATGCTTCCAGAATCAAGGGTATTGCTAAGAGAGAAGGCATCACTTACTTTTAGCGTCAGGCATTTCACAACCATCAGCTATGTGGTTTTGCCCAAAATCGTTTCTATGATCAGGATACTCCGAATTCTCTTCGCCCTCTCATTTATTCATTTGCTTATTCATTCTTTTATTTATTTATGAGTACTTTCTGATTTCACTTATAGTTCTTCGTGATTAAATCATTTAAAACAAAGCTTATTTGGTATTCATTAAACTCTGCGAATTATTCTCGGTAAAATTGCTCATTCATTCATTGTGTCGCGGTATGAGGATAAGCCATTTATTCCCTACAAAAATTTCCCCATGCAGACACCACTTTACTCAGAACGGGTTCCTGCTATTTGAGCCAGCCTGTGCCTGTGTCGCGGTGTGTGTAGGTTTTGTTAATTGCAAGCGAGTAGGGGTTTTTAGGGAAAAATTCTAAGTTCAAGCTTAATTTAAGGCTAAAGTCATTTAGCAAGATCAGTTTGTTTTTTTTTTTTACTTTTTTGCCCGAAGAAGCGGATGTCATACTGCAAAAAAGCACGCAAGACGGTACGAATTATCTCGATAATGTGAAGGCTTAAAAACGGTCATAAGTCACCCAGGAATTAGGCTCTGTCGTTACATTTACTACATTGTGAGACAATTTGGGAACATTGGGGTGGAGATTTAGGAGGCGCCTCGTTAACGGATTTGGTTCGTTGTAATCAAAATTGCCTTCAACTAGTATTTTTAAAAAAACCTTCATTTATTTACAAACACTTTTCACTGTCTAATAATGGCAGGATACCTACGCCACGGAATCATAATTTCTTTCCGCTTCAGATAAAATTTTTTGTTAGCCCCTTGAGACTGCCCTGAAAGCGAAAGACGGCACAATACTCGGGTAGAATATGTATTATTAACCTACTGAAGGGTTTAGGGCTACCATCTTGGCCTTGAAACTAAAAAGAGGAGATAAAGGCCTATCAAAGCTCTGCACAGCCCCTCTCCCTTTTTTAGCGTCTTCGGTGGCGGTCGACTTGGTCAATCCCTGGCGTCGGTCATCCCAGCGTAGTTGGTGCCGTAAGAAAAGTGCCCACGAACCACTCACATCAGTCATAAAATTTGTGTTCAACCTAGAATATAAGTGACCACGACGTCACCATCCCCTCTTGGCACTTCTATTAGACCTGGAGTTTCTAAAAGAGAGGCAAATGTGCTGGCCATCATATATTTCCATCATAAGTCGTAAGAACAATGGACAGAGTTAAATATAATTTCGCAGGGTCAAGGTTCCACATCTATTCCTCCTCGTCACTTTCTTCTCCCTTCAATGCCAATCAGTGATATCTATCTGGATTCTGTTTAATAGGTAGAGTGCTGACGGAGGTATTGCATGTTTACTTCATTGACATCTTCAAACAGTTACCTCGAATCGCGCCGTAAGGAACTTTTCCGGATGGTTCACTCCGCGAATAGTGTCGCTTTAGTTGTTGATGGCTCTCCTGTTGAACATGAGACCAAGCTAATTGCCGAAGGTAGACTTCACTTTCAACCCTTCTGTTAAGAGCTACCACAGATCCTACCGTCCGCGGCATATACCCCTCTTCTGCCACGGTAAGGTTAATCACCCATCAGCAGGGATCATGGCGGGTGTGCTTTAGGATTGGACTTGCATTCCGCTGCCATCAATGTAGAGAGCAAAGGCTTTCCTCAAGACGAAAGAGAGCACAACGCTTGAACAGAATATGAGTTGTCGACCAACCTAAGTGCCTTATTACCAAAACGGAGAGTTAAACAAACAATTAGCCATTACATATTAACTTTTAAATTAACCTATCCCCTTTACAATGGAGCGACAAAATCGGCTTTGAGTCGTCTGCACGTTTGGTCGCGTCATCGTTTCCCTATTTGGGAAGGGCTGACGTCACCGTAGGTAAAAATTAAATGACAAAAATGCCATAAAGAAATGGCTATGCCAATGATGATACAGCTTTTGATCATGTTTATTTGTGCCCCTCACTAGCTGTGAGGATCAGGGTTTCGCATTTTAGCTACTGCGCAAACGAACCTGGGCTATGATTTATCCACCAAAAATTATGCCAGTACTTTGCATCAAGCTAGTGCATATTTTAAAGCTAATTTATCTCTTTGACACTCGCATGTATTCACCCATTAATATTCATCTGCACAAGGAACTTCAGATTAGCTTCTGCAATCTACAAATAAAAAGGTAAATAAAAGGCGCTATTTCTATCAAACAGTCAGATGCTAGCAAATCAGACGGCTACCTACAAAGCGCTTTTGCCAAACTGACTACAAAAAAGGTTCGAAAATATTCTTTGATAACTTGAATTCACTAACCAAAACGACTGAGTTTGTCGACTGTAGGCGCCCTTTGCCATTTGCTTAACTTTGAGGAATTCGCATTACTAGTGTTAGGAGGATAAACAACTTAAAACCACCATTGTTTTAAGCAAAAAGGCAAAGTTCTAGTTGCATGCGTAAAATGCAAAAAAGCACCTCACTTGGCAAAGGCTGTAAGATTTTAGGTAGCCTTACATACAAAATAAGGAACAAAGTCACTGAAGGACTGGATGACTTGGTGAATGGCACCGAGCTCAAACATAAAACACGAATCACGGAAGCTTGAAAGGGTTTCGGAGTAGTTTGCAAGGCATAAGAAAGATTTGATGCCCCAGTTTCCTCTAGTTTTGCCGCCACAGTGTCAGCGTGGCCTCGAGTCTGTGCTTGTAGCCTCCCACAACTTATGCATTAGCATGCCTTATAATAGCATAAATCTATGAATATTTTGGAATTCCGCGCAGGCGGCGGTGCGGATCAAACACAATCCATGTGGTAATCAAACAAAAATAGACGTTATTGAAGAAGGCTTTCAAACATGAGTGGGTGAGAATGCGAAGACTGACAGTAAAAGGTTTGCAACATCTTCAAATCTTTAATAAACCTTTGATTTTGAGTTATGCACGATAACCATTAATGGAATTGCATCAGTATTCATCGAACCGAAATCGACTCAAAGAAATGCGTGCCATGTGTAACCGAAAGCAAT